ATCATTATATTATCTCTTGTCTGTTTCCTCATATCTTCCCTTTCGTATACTATGAAATCAACTGGCTCTCATTTGACCATCATTGTCATCATGATGATGATCATCATCATCACTATAACTGTATCACCAGAAAACACTAACAATATTTTTAGAGTATTTTACAGCTTATAAGGCACTTCCTATATGTTTTCTTCTTTTCACAACCCTTCATACTTGACACTGCAAGTACAGAGGACACAAATCATGTTACTAATTTGGGATAGATCTAAGATAAAGAGTGATTCTCGGATTGTACATCATAATGATAAATGGGAGATTTTTGCAATTATTAGCATTGAAGAGAATTTTTAATAATACCTGCAGACAGGCCTCCTACCCTTAGAGAACAAATTTTGGAAAGAACTTTTTGGAACTAATCAGTTATTGAACCTGACCTTAAGGAATGTAGATATTCTCTCTTATGTCTCTTTCTTTATCACCTCCAGTTAGTGACTTTGGACATTGACTTCCAGGTGTCCCCAAGCTCTTCTAGTAGGCAGAAAGGGAAGTGGGTAAATCAGGTATAGGGCTAGGAATAATTGCTTTTTCATCAGGATTGTACTATGGCAAGGTCAGAAATATACCAGGTTATGAATTTTTTTGGAACAGTTTTAGATTTACAGCAAGATTGAAAGGAAGATACAGAGATTTCCCACGTATCCCATGGCCTCACATATACATATCTTCTCTCATTACTGATATCACTCACCAGAATGGTACATTTTTTACCAAGGATGAACCTACATTGACACATCATAATCACCCATAGTTCACAGTTTACATTAGGGTTCACTCTTGGTGTTGTATATTCTACAGGTGTGGACAAATGTCTAATGATATATATCTATCATTATAATATTATAAGGAACATTTTTACTGCCCTAAAAATCCATCTTTTCCTGACATTCCATTCCTGGCAACCACTAATCTTTTTTCTGAGACAAATGTCTAATGATATATATCTATCATTATAATGTTATAAGGAACATTTTTACTGCCCTAAAAATCCTCTGTGCTCTGCCTATCCATCTCTTCCTGACATTCCATTCCTGGCAACCTTTTTTCTGTGTCCATAGTTTTACCTTTTCCAGAATGTCATATAGTTGGAGTCAAACAGTATATAGCCTTTTCAGCTTGGCTTCTTTCACTTATTAATATCCATTTGAGGTTCGTTCATGTCTTTTCATGGCCTGATAGCTCATTTCTTTTTGGCACTGAATAATTTTCCATTGCCTAGATGTACCACAGTTTATTTATTTATTTACCTACTGAAGGACATCTTAGTTGCTCAGGTCATGGAATTTGATGAGGAAAAAAATCCTAAGGATGAACAAATTCTGCTAATCAATGTTTCTAAACTGTAACGCTACTATAATTCTGTATAAATTTGTCTAATAGCTTTAGAACTGAAGAAGAGATGGATAGGGCATTGTTTTTACAAATAATTTGTGTCCTTTGATGTGTTAAGAAATGGGAATATGCCAGTTTCTTATTTAAATAACAGTTTATCAGGTGACACAACATTCTGGATAACAGGAAGGACTTATCTGAGGGTGCAATGCTGGGTGCTTAGTCATCGCGGGCAAAGGAGGAAGTGGGCAATGGAAGAGGATGATTTATATGAAACTGACGGAGATGTGCCTCAATCATTATTATCAATTAACTATTTTCATTTTTTCATCTGTGGAGGTGAAAAAAAACTTTCTTCCCACCTTTCTAAGTTCTTTTGGCTGAGCTAATAATTATACTACCATGAGACAGACTAACAGAAGAAGATGTCCAGAGTTTATTATGGATGTACCTGTGGAAATACCAGAAGAATATGAGGCTGGAATACACATTAAGCACTTGAGATTTCTATGCCATTCTGGACAGAGAAGCGAGAGGCAAGGATCTGGGATTTTCAAGGGAAAGCAGGCAATAGTAAAAAGTCTCATTAGTCCACCCAGAAACAATGGGAAGAGTGAGAAGTCCAACAAACAGACTTTGCTAGATTTCTTCCTGTCTGCCACATTAAGTTAATGTTATGATGCTAAAGTAATTCTCCCTCTCTTTAAGCAGGTTTTTCTATCTGAATGCCTTTAGGCAGGTGGTGGTGATGGGGGGGAGGTGGTCAAAGGGGTGGTAAAACTTTGGTTCCTTTCACATCACATAGCCCAAATTCAGATACCATCTTCATCCTTGAACTTGTAAAGCTTATATATGAGACACATGAACATTTTTATTTTTTTTTTATTATATTCCCAAAAAATGTAAAAATATTAAAAATTACTGATTTTGTGTGTGTGTGTGTGTGTGTGTGTGTGTACGAGATTTAATCTTACACATCTATGTTTTTAATCAAAGCAATGTTACTGTCAAAGTACATTTTTGTGACTGGCTATTTCGTGGCAGTGGAAGTAAAGGAAAAAAAAATATTTTGAGCATATGTAAAACAAATGAAAAAATAGTCTACTGACTGAATTTTAAAAGTAACCGATGGAGATTGACCTGAAAGGTTATTTTTTATTTTATCAAGCTCTAACAACAGTCTTTAATGTCTGAAAGCAGAAACTTTGGGAAGAATGATTTGGGAACATCAGCAAAACAGAAAAAAATTCAGAGTTTTCAAAGAAACAGGCTGCCATTTCCTGGCTACTCACCTCGAATGATTTTAAACCCTGAAAACATCTGCACATCATGAGCATTAAAATGAGGCCCTGCAAGAAGTCAGAATATCCCTATGGGAGCGAATTGATAAAGCCTTAAATTCTTTTTGGATTGCAGAAGAGAACATGTTTTACCTTACCATATGACTGGTAGAGCGTTGAGAATACCTTTTGTATACATATGTATTTATTTGATTTGTGAAACAGGCCCTTTTCCTTCATAGCCAGAAGGAATCATTCTCAGAAGGCATGCAGGCAATCAAAATATTTTCAAATCCTAAAAGCCAAAGAAACACTAGCTATGGGTTTACTTACTTGTGTGTTTCTTTCCAAACATTTTTTTTAAACTGGCCCCAAAGGGCAATAACTAGGCCTCTATTAAGTTCAGCAGATAAAAAAGATGCGGATTAAAGGGCATTCAGCAGTTTTTTGTCTGTCTCAAGACAGATGGTCAGTGAGTTAAGTTTAAACAGAAGAGGAAAAACATAGGACTAATATTTTATGTTCATGCAAAGCAGCCAAAATTTTCTGAGCAACATGCTTATTACAAACTAACTAGGTAGCATATTTGTCCAGAAAACATACGTGTGAGCGTTTTTCTTAGTCGCCATCCCCATCTCAATCTCATAACTATGTGTCAACAGTATGCTAGGTCTTAATGCAGCAATATAAACATTCCAGAAATTGATAGGTATTATTTGCTAGAAAAGTAACTGTTCACATGAAAGTAGGTATTGGATACTAAAGGGTAGGTTCAAGACCTGAGCTCCACGGAAAGACAATGGAGTGACATTTGAAACTCCAAGTTGGAGTTTCAAATTACTACAGAATTCAATATTTTGTAATGAATGTTTCCTTTCCCACTTTATATGTCAAGAGACCAGAACACACGATGTTTGTTAAATAATTAGCATCAAGCAAAAGTTCAAAGTTGAAAACAAATAGAGAAAAATCAAATGGTATAATTTGCAAAGGACCCTTTCTTAGTGTTCTAGATACTGTATTGACAGCCATTAAAAATAACTAAATATTAGAGGAACTAAAATAATGTAGATGGAGTCCAAAACACATCGACAGTGTTTTGTGTTCCAATCTGGGCCTTGTTCGGGGGAATTGACCTCTGTCGGATAATTTAAGGTGTGTTTGGCAAATCTTTACTTCCTTTGAATCATATAAAATATTCATGGGTTTCTGTCAGTTGCTGCAAAGTTAAAAATTAAACCACTGCTCTTGGCTTTATGAGATGAAGTATTTCCATACAATCTTTATATTCTTGACCTTATTATTTCCAGTGCGATTTATACTACCAGCTTCTTAATCCCATGCCACGTGGATCTAGACCAAGACATCATATTTTTTAGTATATCTCCTTAATAAATGTCTTTGGACCATATATTTATCCACATACATGCAAAGGGTGAGGGATGGAAAGTAGGCTTTCCAAATTCCAGGCACCCCAAATGAGGGAGTTTTCACTGAAACCATGAGGAAAGTGAATTGAGCTACTTTTATTGCTGAACACCTACCATATTCCACATGGTTTATATATATAACCTCTAATTGTCACAACAACCCAGAAGAGGAGACAATACCACCCCGATTTTGTAGAAGAGAAAACTGAAACTAATTATTTAATGAACTTTTACAAGGTTACCCAGATCAGATTTTTCAAAAGAGTGTCGACTCTAAAGACCATATCCTTCCGCTTACACCACTACATGCCAGCTTACTGCTTGAGAGGCTGAACCAATCTGAAATACATAAAGAACCAATGGTGTTCATGGTCCATTGTTAGCAAACGCTAAGCCCTCTCCCACTTTCCAGTTAAGGCTCCTCAGTCCTCTCAGGAACTGAATTACCAAGCCCAGCATTTCTTGTGCCATCTAGGGAAACACAGAAAGTTAGCTAAGGGTAGAAAAAGTAAGAAAAAGAGGATATTAGATCTCTCTAGTTGGTGATAGCCCTTAGAGGAAGTTGAAGGAAGATACTTGTTTTCCTGTAATTTTTTTGTGTGTTTCAAGAACAGGGGTGGCAGGAGGGGAAGGCAAAGAGAGAATACTGATGTGATAATGAGCAAAGGAGAGTTACTTTGGGGGTTATTTCTCCATTTCCCTGGTCATTCCACCTTTCACTGAATGAGAATATTCTGTTTGGCTCTCAGGCTGGAGTTGTCATGCGAGAAGTATATGTTAATTTTATATTTTCTCATAACTTTCTTTTGGGAATAAGCATTTTGGTTTTCTGCTGTTTATTATTTCAAAGGCATCTATATGCTAATATGTTTATGCTAATTATTTTCATGTTTCCCCTTAGGTTATGTATGCTTCATATCACCCACCAGGGAGGATCATCTCTCATGAAAACTTTCAAATTTGATTTTGAAAATTATTCAGAAAAATTTAAGCCATGCTCTCTCCCAATGTAGGAAAGAATATGCTCTAGAGATTCCTATAATTCAAAGGAAATGGACTGGGATAACATCTGAGTTCTCATGCTACCAAAATCTTCTTGAACAGGTACCCAAAGCATTTAACATTGTGACATTAAAATGTTGGAAGAATAACTAAAATAATAATCTAATAATAGTTTTTAGAAATTGCTAAATTTCAGTATTTGATCCAGAGAAAAGGGAAAGGTTGTTTTCATTCTCCACAGCTTCCAAAGGTGTGTTAACTGCTTCTATTTACTATAAATACTGTATTTTAATTGTATGTCATTGTTCCTTAGCATCATTTCTAGAAAGTTAATTTAATGATATTAATGCCTGAAGCTGAGTTTCTGCTTACAGGAAGAATCAAGTAAAAGAGGAACTTCATATAATAAGCTAGCTTGGTGTTTTCTTCTGGCTTTTTCATTACAGAGAATTTTTTATGAGGTTGTAATTTGTTTTGAGAGTAAGTTGCATTTAAAAAAAAAAAAAAACAGAAGTTAGCCAATTAACTTGTCTTAAAACTATTTTTATTTCAGTCATCTTCTTTTGAAGATAACCAAGGCTAAAAAACTGATTCCTCGACATGAAATATTAACACTCAGATCACTTTAAAGGGTATTTTATATTTCTCCCTTGGTTAGGAATCGGACTCCTTTTGTTCGCAAACACTTCAGGAGTGCAAAGTAAAGACCCCCATTCCACACTCCTCATTAGTTCTTTGTCCTGCTCTGTGCTTAAGCAAGGAATCAGAAGCACTGAGGAATTCATTAAGTTCATTTTGTATCTCAGCCTCCTCCTTACCTATTCCTCTCTCCACCTTTCAGTAGCTGCACCTAATTTCATTTCTATTTTTTAAATGCTCTTACTTTTAGATCTCAACAGTGCTTCACTCTGTAAGAAGTGCAGCCCAGCTGCTGCTATTTCTCCTCTTGTCTCATTCTGATACCTCTTGAGCTCCAAGGCAGCTTTGTCAGAAGGAGAGTTCACATTCAGGGCTAGAAGAAAAGTCTCCTTCTGAAAGGGGGCCTGACAAGCAAACTAGGCTCTTCTAGTTTAGACAGGTACCTGGACAACATGTGCTGGCACTGCCAACCAGCATTTCAACACTTACGGTCATCACCTCTCTACAAATAAGAAGCATCATTGCCGGGGATACATTTGGTAAATTGGTTAGAATATATGATTGTCAATTAAAGGCAAAATAATATTCTATTGAAACTTGGCTTACATTCTATTGAAATAAAAGACCTGCAATAGTTTATGTGCTAAACCTTGATGACCCATCATTATTTTATTTCCGTTCTACTTATTTACTTGTGACAATAACAAAATAATTGCACTTTTTCCCTTTTAAAGTCATGTTTGGAGAAGGATTCACTGAACATTTGATCTTTATGCAGCTCCAGCTAAAAAGAAACTTTCTCTTCTTGCTCTTTTTTGAACATAATGTAAAGATAATTCAAATAGAAAGCAATTTGCATACAGTTAGACTTCAAATTTATTAGGTGTAGGTGAACCATGCAATCCGATTAAGGAGGCTGCTATGAGTGTCTTATTCTCTTCATGAACTAAATTCTATGAGGACAGGAAAGACCTCCATTAACCACTATTAGCCTGGAACTCGAGAAGGTGGCTGGTTTTCATGGACGTTCAGCAAACGTTTGGTGTGCATGACTCAATCTATATGAGCAGTGAAATTAGGTTCGACACAGTTCCAGAAATGCTGTGTCATATAAGAGCAGTAGCACTTCCGGGTCCTGCAGTTCTCATGGGACATTGTTAAAGGCACATGGCTTTGAAATAATAGGGACCAGATTTAGATAAGCCTGGATTTGAGTCCCACATCACTACCTACTAGTTTTCTGACCTGGATGAGTTTCTTGGCCTCTTTGAGTCTCATTCTCCTCATGGAAAATATGAAAGAAAAAAAATCACATTTACTTTATTTAAATTGGCTGTGAGGATTAAATGAGATAATATATTTGCATGGTGCTCACATCTAGTGGATGCTCAGCTAATGGTCACAACTTCTATTATCATTATTAGTTTTACCCATAATAATACTTTTAGGATTATATTATCATTACTAATGATATTAATGATTATATGAAAGGTTCAAAATTTTTTCTTATGAAAAGTTTAGGTAGTGTAAATCAAATGTGGACTTTTTAGATTAGATGTTTCTTCTTCTAGTGGAGCGGGGCCTATGAAATGAAGACGTGGAAAGACTCGAGTTTTAAGAGTGATTCATTGGCGGCCTCTACTCACAGAGTTTCATTAAACACTTTTTTGTTTGTTTGTTTTGTTAAATCTAAGATGCTGCACAAGGTGAAAAATTTTAAAGCCCGCCAATTTTTTTGCTCATGTCTAACTAATTCCAAATATTCAGGTAAGATAGAAAAAAAAAGTCCCTTACAACCTAGATATTTTGCCTCTCACTTCCAAGAATTCAAATGTCTATCTAATGAGCTGGGGTTTTCACTTTTCTTTTGGATACCTCATATTATACAAGCCATTTTGTGATTGGTTTTTCATTTTGCCAGTAGTGGTGGCCTTATTGGTAACGGGGTACAATTTGAAATTCCTGAATTTCATGAGGTGTGGGATTGCTCAGAATGAAGGCTTTCAATAGGAAAAGACATCGTGCTGGTCAAAAAGCCACAGTAAACTGTCAGGCCATCTTCATGGAGCCAGAACATATGAGAGCCTGTAGTTGGGTCTCAAGGCCATTAAAAAGTTTTTGCCTTGCTGCTAAACAAGAGAATAGTAAATAGGTTTGTTATTGTCTCCAAAACATATGGCTCCTCACAGACAGAAAAGTCAGATGTTAATTAAACATTTGCAGGGTTAGAATGGATCATTTCATTCTGTATTGAAAAGTCAGCTTTGACTTTTAATTGCATGTGAAAAAAAAGACCCACAAATGTATTTGCTAACAAAGGTTCTTACTGCATACAAGTCGGTAAAAAGAGAAATCTTATTTTCTTTGTATTTGGAATGGCTCTAATTACAACAGAGCTTTCTTTAAAATACTATCTTAAGTATATATTTATATGTTCCATTGAATTTTCACCCTTTCCTGTGGATTTCCCTCTTTCATGAAACCATCCCTCAAAGGACATGCTGACAATAAGTTAACATCCATACCCAGGTGTATTTTAAGGTGTTTCATTTTAAATATTCACACGTGAGTTAAAAGGTAGCATCATTTACTTTTCACAATGTATAGCATATAGTAGAGGCTAAATAAATAGCGATTAAAATAAAATAATATTATTAGAATTAGAATATTACCTTCCCATATTTCATTTCTGTTCTGTCCTTTTTCAGTGAGGTTCGTATGGTTTCTTTTACAATGGGCACAATTTGGGATTGTTCACAGTCACAAGAAAACGAAATAAGAGAGATTTTCATTTATAAGATTGCCTTTCTCTTATCTACTGGTCTTGCCTCCCAGACTGTCTGTCTGTCTCTGGAAAGCAAAGTCAATAAAAATGATTAGAGCTGGCATCTCACAAATGTACGCCCTTAAACCATGAAGCAGTAATGCTGTGCAGGAAATATTTTTCTGACCTTTTCAAATTGCATCCAACTGTCTCGGGAATTTCTCAGTGACTAGAGGTAATAAGGTTCAATCCGTTTTACTGGCTGGCTTCAAATTTAGTTCCTCCGAATCTCTAACTTATCTATTCTTTGCATCTTGGCTCTGGCATCCATTCAGCACCAAAATCCACGCATCTAATCTTTTTTTTTTCACCTTCTCAGGCTTTGCTAAAGGATCACACTGTGGAATCTACAACCCCTTACCATCTCTTCCAAAACAAAATATTAGCATGGGAAGGTTAGTGGTCATATTGTCTTTCAAGAAGCCCTTATTGAATTAAATTAGCTTTTAGATTTTATCTCCATCTTCTATCTCAGTTTCGACCTATACAATTTGTGCCTCAGTAATCTTTATTATATCAAACTTCTCCAACATAACTACACCACGGGCACTCTGTAGAATATTAAAGAGGCAAAAAATATGTGAATTTCTTTTGTGTTAGATTTATTTCGGTTTTTCTTCTGTGAGTCCAAATGCAATGGACCCTCCCCCCCCCGCCCCCCACTAAGGAGAGGAGTCAGCCAAGAGTGGCATGCTAAAAGGCAGCTGGGCGGCCCTATTCTTCACTGTGTTCTCTGAAGGGGAACAGAAAACAGAAGCTGGGGACATATTTCTTGACCTCGTGAAAGTATTGGATGTCAAGAAGCCTGACAAGGAGTTAAAAAGCTTGTCTTATTTTTCATATTTAGAGCATCTCCATGCTGAATGTGATTCTGGGGAGATATCAGTGTTTCCTCATTTGTAGGACACGCCACATTCAACACACACTCTCTTCCTTTGCTCCCAGTCACCGCCTTTGTGCTGCCTTCTGCGGCGGTGATTAGAATCTTGGCTGGACGTCCCTGTGGTCTGTGGAGCTTGGAGCCTCTTTCCTAAGCCTCTCTGCTCATGGGCAAACAGCCACCAGGAGGGGAAAATCTTTTTGAAGTCGCCCTTCTAAAAGTCTGTATTTGCTTGTACAACAATTGTCAAGTTTGGTCATCACAAAATATTTGGCTTTATAAAAATGAGATCATTTCAAACAACCTGATTTAGAAAATAGGTTTAGAAGGAGGAGGATGAAGAATAGACATTTTTAATTCGCTGCGGTGTATTTTTTTTCTTAAAGGAAACTGAGTACAGTTGGTCCTCCATACCAGCGGGCTGTCATCCATGAAATTCACCAACCTCAGTGTTTTGAGAAGTAGCTATTTTGTCATTTGAAATTCAATTCATCTTGACCATAGAGTCACAACCCCAGTGATGTCTCCTTACCAGCGAAGTCTAGTTTGCTGGTGTGAGTGGAGTTGAGGCGTTTTGGCAGTTTCGCATCATCGGATTTCCCCAATATTTGCAATGCAGCGTAGTGTTTTTCCCAGCTGGG